AACTTTATTCAAAAGAATGCTCTATAGGTAGAAATTGTTCAGAAAATTTAAATTTAACAATAGCCTCTTCACAAGGAGGAGTAAGAGGAGAAATAAAAACTCCTCTTACTTATAACTGTTTTATTTTAATTCCATCTGAGTACCTGGCAAGCTTTAATGGGGAAAAAAGTGTTATATCCCTGTTACATTTAATAAAATTATAATGGCCTGAATGTTTCATGTTGGCTACACAGTGACATTTGAAGAATTATAGGCTTTCAGAAAGGAACCTTTTATTCACATACTTATAAGTTAGAAACTCATCTATTTAGAGGTTGTTATTGTTCATGTAGCAAGGATGTAGAGCAACCAGTAATCCAGCAGACCTATACATGCCCATTGTTCTTCTTTTTGAGGAAGGTTCACTCTATTTGGGGGAACATACTAACTTTTGCAGAAACAAATGAGGCTTAAGTGGGCACATTTAGGGAAGAGATAGTTGGCCATAAGACAAGGAGGGGTGAGAGTCCTTTATGTAAATAGATGTTAAATAAAATCTAAAAATATTTCTTTTTATAACATCACAGGCAGTTCAGACATTAGAAATAAGAGCCCATGTATATTTTTTACAGACATTTATTGCAGCGTAAAGTATGTTGACACAGATAAACTTGCATCTGATGGAGCCAGCTCTGTTAATGAATTTGCAGTAATACAGATTTGCTGCATGACTTAAATATGGAGATTGCGGAAAACCACTTTAAGTTTGAGTCATCCATACATTCAGTGATGTGATGGATGTCGAGGTTAATTTGCACTAAATCCATTAGTAGTCATGGCACTGATGTGTCAGTGATTGTCATATAAAACCATGCATAAATAATAAAGGTGACACATTTCTTCACGTGCCTTTCTATGTTCCTAAAACGCTTGGAACAGTGATTGCGATGTGCTGTTGCTGCACATTGAATTTACTTATATAATACAATAAAACATGTTTCTATAAAAATAAAATTAAAATAATAAAGCTAGACTGCAGTTCATTTTGTATAGACTCACTCCTTTATTTAACAGTTGAAGTGAATTTTTTTTGCATCATGCTATAAATCTTGCCATGCTAGATGTTTTATGATGATGAACTAATATTCTTTTTCTCATGAAAGCTGCCATGTGATGCAATTTAATATCCTTCTCATTGTCAAGTTCTAGTGAATGTAAATAATAATATAATGGGTTTATGTGGAAAAATTGCTAGTCCAAGCAATGAAATACTGAAGAGTTTAATAAGAACTAGGATGGAGGAAAGTCATTTCTTCAAAGGCATTTGGTTTTCACTCAACTTTGAAATGACTCCTACTTTTCCAAACTTATATTAAAATAAAACAACAATGTTGCAGTGTTCATTATTTTATACTTTTTTCGTTATTTTATATTTTTAACACATACACAGACACACACACACACACACTTCCACCGCACGCACCGTCTGTTCTCTGTAAATGTTACTGGGCACTTACCATATGCCACGAATTGGACTAAGGTGTTACTGTGTGATAGCTCATTTAATTTTGGTGGAAGCTCCATGAGGTAGATAGTGTTAGTGTCCTCCTTTTTTTCAGATGGGACATCCAAGACTTAGAATAAATAGGTTGGCCAAAGTCATTGTTGCTAGTAAATGATTCAGTTGGAATTTGAACCCAGGTCTGTTCAGAGCCTATATTCTTAATTTTTTAGCTGTCCGCTATAGTAAGTACATCATGTCCTTCTTCAGAAAAATGCATACTAAATGAAGTAGATTTTAAAACTGTAGTCATCTGACCCACTATATTTTACTGTGGGAGTACTGTCATATTTTTAAGGTTACTAGAATAGAATACACTTGTAATTTTCTATCTTGATAGAAAGGGGATTTAAGAACATAGGAGATTTTGTAGAGTTTGATATGATTTTTTTTTTTTCCTTTTAAGAAAGCCAAGATGCTTATAGAGGTCGGGAGAGAGTGGCCGGGGGGGTTGGAACTGGACATCTAATTCTCTCACTTATTATGGAATTATGCTGATGAGTGCAATACAATCCACTGTTGTGCGTACAGAAGAAGAGGCAAGGGAGATTGCTTTCCAGATATATCTGGAGAAAAAAAGACGCTAGAAATAATTGCATTGTTTGGCACAAGGTAGTAAAATTGTTTTTGCTTTGTTATGGTGAAGCTTAAAGAACTGGAAAGTTGTTTTAAGAAAGACAGTAGTTAATAGCATGCTAGTCGCCAAGTCTTAACACTTATTGAAATATGAGATGAAATCAAATCTTGGGTAACAATGTTTGTATTGTGACATTTACGTTACTGAAAATATAAACCTTTAAATTATTATCCTCCCATTCTGTAGCTCAGCAACTAGAAACTTTCGTAGTTCCCTAAGTTTTGGGACGTATACCCTAAACTAAATGTTAATCTACATATATTAAATGTTCTGTCATTTCACATTTACATGTTATTTTTCTTTTTTTAAAAGCATTGTGAGGTGAAAGGACAGTATATGATCATGAGGTGCAAATGTCACTTTATGGATATGAGACATTAGAATATGATAACAGTTGGCCTTGATAAATTCAGACTGACACATCCAATTAACTTGTTCTTGACTGTCTTGTTATGATAACAGAAACATTTCTGTAATAAAAAATATACAGCAGTGGGAGTCTGGGTACTAGGTTTCCTCCTAGCACTGCCACTTAACAAAGGTTGCAACTTTAGATAACAAATCCATCTTTATGATTCAATTTCCTCAAATGTAACACAGGGCTCCTGCTTCCCCTGCTTTCCATCCAGGAGTGGAGAAGAAATGAAAAATTATTGTGAAAGTGATATTTTTAATATGAAGAACCTCTATGTGATGTAAGATGTTTTGCTTTACACCACCACCTTCTTCTGGTGATTCTAGAAAACATCTGAATTCTTAGATATGTTTTACATTGTTATGCAGCATCTCTAGTTTTGAATATTTGTCTTAATTCATAGGAACTACATAGTCACTAGAGAACAAAGTTAATTAAAAGGTGCAAAATAAAAGTAATTAAGTACCTACACTCAGAGTTCACCACCACAGTCTCCTGTTAAAGAAGACTTCACTTTTATATAGTCTTGTCCAATTTTTATCAATGTAGGTTTTAGTGAAACATTTAATAGTTAATCATCTGAGAAAAATTTACCAAGCTGAAAAATATTTATCAAATAGTTCTTATTAATATCCTGAGTAACAAACTTCCAATAATATAGAACATAAATGGTCCTGGAGGCTCCAGGATTTCTGATACCCAAATCTCTACATTCTGAATGTTCTTTACTTGCATATTGACTGGTGCCTTTGAAGTACAACTTAACTATTTTCACATGAGAGAGAGAAACTACTTTCATGCATTAGTATCAAAAAAAAAATGAATAGGGAATTCATAGCCTCTCTACCATTGCGTTCTAACAAGATTCTATTTTATCACTTTTACATTTAATATTATCCTGACATGTTTCTGTTGTCATGTCTACATACCAAGTCTTTCTGAACCAGTCAGGCAGGAGGCATATTGCAGAGGCCTTGGGAGTTTCTGAAAGGCCTTTGGAAATGTTTCAGACAGACAACAAAGGGCAGTTGGCTCCAAAATACAAAATGAGAAAACAAAATATTATCAGCTATTTAATTAAATGTACTCAAACATGACATTAAGTCAACTTCATTCAATTTGTAAATATGGTAATGGTAGAAATTTAATGTGTAGAAATCTTGAAAACATCCCACTGTACACGCACCTTTTACATATAAGCCTTACTCTTGGTAGAAGCTGTTTTTCTATAAACACAAGATGCTTTGTTGCCTAAATTTTAATATTTACTCTTCCCACTTTCCTTACCATGTTTGGCACATAGTGGGAACACAATACATATATGTTGGCATCCTTTGTTATTGGAAGGCTGGCTATATTACCCTCTATAAATTATACCCTAATGACATCTGTTCCTGGGATAACTTTGCAAGTGTTTCTGTGGTCCTTTTAGTGTGAAGAAAGGTCTTTTCTCCTCTCTCTCTCCATATATATGTACCTATATCTTTGCACATCTCTTCCAAATGTTCTGACTTAAAAATTCCATTTTATTGCATTCAGTGAGATAGATTTTGTTGTGGTGCAATGAGATAGGACTTCAGTGCATTGGATGCTTAGTAAACTTGTTTGAAAGAAAACTCTTTTTAAAGCAAGATGGATAATTTACTGACATCAACACCATAAAGTAAAATTTGAACACTCACCAAATGAGGCTGTGATATTCTTAGTACTGTAAGACTAGCATTCACTTTCAGGAAAAAAAAAAAAAAGGGTCTTTTTGTGATCCTGGATAGCTTGACAGCTACTAGATATTGCTTGTTAAGTAAAATCTCACTTTTGTTGATGAGATCTATTATCTGACGTGACTCCTGGGGCTTATGACTATTTATCCATTAGTTATCATGTGGGTGAATACACCCTTTCCCTGTAAAAGTTGATTCATAGTGTATTTGTGATTTGCTTCGCTGTGCTATATGATCCTGTCACATGCACATGTAACTCTTGTTTCAAAAACAAGTTGATATATGTTTCTGCTCCTTTTAGAAGCAGCCAAAGTCAGTGTTTCCTACTAAACTATTGCTAAAAAACTGGCAGGGAGAACTAAAACTCTATAAGATTCCATGCTTGTCCAACTCAATGGAAAAAGTAGTAATCCCCCATTTGTTCTGAAACACCTGCTGGTAGGTTTAATGAGTATATTAAAAACTGAGCTGCCTTGATATTTCTTCTAAAAATCCTCTGTTCTTTTTCTTGAGCCTGTTTGATTAAAATCTGTGATTTGCTCACTGTTTTTGCCGTAGTTTCATGTTTGTTTTTCATTTTTGCTATACTGTAAATTTAATCATTTACTGATATGTCAGTGTAACAGATACAGGAAAGTTGTGTACCAGATGTATTTGGACTAATTGCTTTTGGTTTTTGTTTTCCAGCTGGGACGACATATATCTTTAGCAAAGGTGGTGGACAAATCACGTATAAGTGGCCTCCTAATGACCGGCCAAGTACACGAGCAGACAGACTGGCCATAGGGTTTAGCACTGTGCAAAAAGAAGCTGTGTTGGTGCGAGTGGACAGTTCTTCTGGCCTGGGTGACTACCTAGAGCTGCATATAGTAAGTACTTTAAAAATAAGATTCAGCTTTTATTTTTTACTGTTAGTTTTTTTAATTATTATCATAAATAACTTATAATTCTGCCTTTTAGAAGTTTCTCCTCCCCAGCAACCAGCACTTGGGTACAGAAAATAGAAATACACTTAAGAAGTAATAAGACCTTAGTCCAACTGCTGTTGCTAAAAATGTTCTTTACAATAGAAAATATATTTTTTGGTTGTTAAGTGTTAATTCCTCGCAATTCTCTGTTTAGAAGAAAGATTTATTTTGGTATGTTTTTAGTGACTTTAGGCAGACTTGCTAAATTAATAAGCTGAGTTATTGCCTCGTTGATACTGTTCCATCTGACTAGAAGCATGAGGTTGTAATACTGGTAACATCAAAAGATCTGAACCCAGTGTCCTTATTTCTTTCTTCACTTAGAAACCAATTGTCTAAAGTTAACATGCAATGGATGGGAGAAAAGGGAACTTCAAGGGTAATTAGGGGTAGGAAAGAAAATGGTGAAAAGATTGTTTCTATGCTGTCTTATACTCATTTTGATACATAAGTATGAAGAAAATAAAATGGACTGTTAGCATTTATATCCTGGGACGATTCCTTTTTCCCCAAGCTCTAAGCCTACTATAAGAACTTAGTCAGCATATCATAGATGGGAAAAAAAAAAAAGACTTTTTTTTTAACCTTTTAAAGTTGCCATAATTGACTATAGCTTGGAGACTCTGCCCCATATCTCTGCATTCAAAGAGTTACTGATTTGTATACTTGTAATTCTTTATCTCGTTTTATAGCAGTATTTGCACGGAAGTACATATGGTCTCTCATTGCTAAGCGATATTACTATTTTACTGATATATAAAAGTAACAACTATAGGAAAGTGTCACATATTCAATAACTCTAATGGGTTCTTGTCATCATAGTTCTTAATTGAATATCTATAATTTCTGGAAGGTTTCAAAAGTATATAATCTCTCCATTTCCCTTTTTATCCTTGAGGTGTAGTTTATCTTTTCTGTCTCATGTGTTTATGTAAATTTGTTTCGTTTTGCTTTTGTCTATCCCTATAAGTTCTCCCTTCACCAGCACCCATGCCTCAGAAGACAATTTGATTAGGTCAATGTGTTCTTTTCTCTTAGAAACTGGCCTTCAGGCCTTCATCCTCAAATGATTAGGAAAACTATCAAACACCAAAATACATGATCACAGACTTTTGCAGCGTCTTAATTTTCAAAGTTTTATTCATTTATTTTCTTAATCTTAGTTTTCCATCAGACCTCTAGAATTTCCATTTAGCTGAGTAGGGGTTTACACTGACCACAAGAGCTGAATTCATTGCTAATCTTAGGAAAAAAGGGGAAAACAAAACAAAAACAAAAACAAGAAAACACCTCAGCACAACCATTATTGAACCGTCATAAATTTTCAATTCAAAATGCAGTTGTCAAATGGGAACCCTGGGAAAGTAACTTCAACTGCCTTTCAGCAAGTATCTAACAATCAAAATTGAAAGCATCCTGATTTTTATGGCATCATAAATAAATGATCAGTTGAGATAAGCTTAACTAGCGCAGCAAAGGATCTTGCTGTTTAGAGTTATCTCAACTTTCTAAATGTGTTTGCTCCATTCTGATTTAAGAGCCTTGCTACTTCCAAAAACAAAAAAAAAAAAAAAGAAAAAGAAAAAAGAAGAAAACAAGTGCTTTCCCTCCTGAAAGAAATTACTTATTGATCCATCACCAATTACACATTTACCTTGAGAAAAGTTTCTACAATGATCACTCTCAAATCATAAGGGGCTATGTTATTGAATTACTCCACTGTTGTTTGTTTTATGGTCAGAGGGTTTTAGTCTACAAGAATGGGTATTTTTTTTTTCCAATTTTGATCAAATGTGGGCTTAAGAGTCCCTCCATACATAATGGATTGACTTTCTAGGTGTCCATAACAACCCAGTACCTTCCACAACTCCTTTACTTGCTGTGGATTTCTGACAGCTGTCCTATGAGGGCTTCCTTCTTTCTGAATCTCCTCGTTGGTTTGCCCACCTATTCACTTTAGGTTCAGTCTTTGTCTCAATACATTCTGCCTCTTGGATTTGCTATCCTCAGACTTTCACTTGATCTGAGAGCCAGTCCTTGACTGGGAAATGGAAAATGTGTATTGGTTCCCTGGGCTTACTAAACCTTACCCTTGTTGGTCATCCTTATGCCTCCTGTCTCCATTACTAGCATCTGTCTTAGTCCAAATCTGGCCAACTAAAACTTACCTCCCTTCCTTTTCTCTCATTGCCTACAAGTGGTGATCAGCTGTTAATGACTCAGCAAGTCGCTTATATGGAGACAAGTTCACTTCTTTCCATGTTTCAACATACAAACCAAATTGACACAAGATCAGTGTTGTTTTGTTTTGTTTTGTATTTTACATTATTGAAGTTTACTAATCTAACTCCTGTAATGCTGGGTGCTGGGAAGAGGAAGAGAAAGAGGAGTTAGAAATTTAAAAAGGCTAGGGGTGGGGAGGAAGGGAAGGAGGAAGGAAAGAGAAGGGGAATGAAGTGTTTAGGGACCAAAGTTGTTAACAACGGGTGATAGAAGTATTCTTAATAATAATACTTAGATTTGAGAATATTCAGACCCTGTTTTATCAAATTATTTAGGTACCTTTCAGTCTGTGCCAATTTCCCTCAAGTCATTTCTTCTGCTTCTTTCAAAAATGGAAATTTGAAAGGAAAACAAGATTTGTAGTTTGTTTATTAGTGTTGTTTGATTTTGGCTTATGAATGTACCTGATTTAAAAATTAACCTAACACCATACATGATATGTTTTATCTGTAAAAGTTAGTTATTATTATCCATTGAACTCCAGAAAAACTTCTGTAAACCCTCAAGGTCAGCCAAATATAAGCTGTACTAATCTTTAAGAATTGTATTTCTACCCTTAATTAGTAAATTAACCATTAAGTTGGTTGTACTCCTCAAAAGGTGCTATGGTCTTGCTGAAATGTACAATGCCATTTCAGTTAGATAAGTTTTAAAATATGATTGGCACATAATTTTGATGAAGATGTTAATATTTGACATCATCCCTTTTTATCAGAATGATCATGTTTGATTTTTACTTGAAAATATAATCATATTTAAATTTTGATTAATTGTACCTTTAAACTATAATAACTTGGAAAAAATGGTTTTTGATTCAGGTGGCCTAGTTTTTGTAGATTTTTTAAATTATATTAATAATACTACTGTTAACTTCAAAGCCGTATGATGTTGCTATTGAAATTTGTAAGGTTTTAGGAGGGATGAGGGCAAGATAAACACATGAAGTGAGGAGCAATTAATTAGCATAGAGCCTAGAATACAGGTACTCAAATATTTTCTGAAATAATAAATGAATTAATGAATTATATACTGAAAATATGAGGCTTAGGTGAAGAATAGGCAGTCAGCTTTTCATTAGTTAATGTGAAGTCACAGATGAAGTTTAGTTTCTATGTATCTGAGAAAGTCTTTAAGACTTGTTTGTAACATAGAAAAAATGTAGCACTTGATATGCAGTAGCTATATTTTTGAAAAGTTGCATATTTTTATTGATGTCTGAATTTTCAAGTAAGAATTGATTATAGTAGTTGATGGTTTAAAGGAAGTGTGTGGTGGGAATTTTTGTTGTGTGAATGATTATCTCTCTTTAGTAATTATCTCATTTATTGTAACTTACCTTCATCATGAATTGTTCTCTAGTCATTTCATATCTGTCCATTATTTTCCAATAGAGATAAACTGTCTAATGGCAGAGAACATAATTTGATAATAATGATGATTAATAAGAAACATAACATAATATAGAAATGTGGCTTTTCAATGTTCATTTGCGTATATGCCTGAAGACTTTCCAGAAAGATTTTCTGAGCAACTAGTATGGCCCAGGTCTATGTTAAGCTCTATAGAAAAAAAAATAAATGAGCTTACCACTTAATAGTTATCTCAATAAGTATTTGTTGGATGAATGAATGAATGAGTCAAATGGGATCCTGATCACCAGGTAGCTTAGATTATTTATAGGAAACGTACTTTGTCCCAAAATGACTCTATCTGGGTTCATCTCTATTTCTTCCTCTTGCAGTTTTAACTTTCTTATCTGTATATTTGTAAGAATATAAATAGAGGATAGCTTTTTAAGATAAAGAATATAAAGAAGTGACTTCTAAGCTGTAGGGTGTTAAACGTATTTAAATTAGTCATGTTGAAGATTATTTAATCAATATTGAGTAAAAAAATTCTTAGAAGCAATAAGCAAAAAAAATCTAATTTATTTTAAAGATCAATTTATAAGATATATCTAGAAATGTTACCAGTGTTGCCACTCTAGAGAAAGCATCTCTCATATATATGTCTGGCAACATTAATTAGAGATTACTTAACCCCTCTTTGACTTACAGAAGAAAGCCAGTGCAAATGTGCTCATTCACTGCCATGAATATTAACATGTGCATTGGTTCTGACCAGAGGAAATGTATGGAGGGTGGTGGAGAGGATGAGTGAAGAGTGTTCTTTGAAATTCTTTCATCTTGGGAGCATGAAAGAGCATTACAAATTTGATTAGTGAATTGTTGTACATATTTGCCTTAAGTGTTTCTTCTTTGTACTCTCCTAGGTCAGAAGCCTTATTTTTGAAACCCAGCTCTTAATTGATTTTGATTTAGAAGTACACCTTTTGATCAGTGGTTTTAGTATAGACTAGAAGCATAATATATTTAGAGTTAAAATATGACTTGTCCCAAAATAACTTATCAATATCAGTGACAAGTCAATACTTTCTCATCTTTCTCTGCATCTCTACATTTTATATTGCTTTAATAATTTTTGTTTAATAAATAAATATAATTTAATGTTTTATACTTTATAATACTGCTTTATTAAAACTAAATTTAAAAACATCATTTCAAAGTCAATAATTATATACGAGTGGATACCCCTATCAATAAGATAAAATCCAATTA